TTTGTCACATACAGTAGATAGGTTGTTAACTCAAAAGAGGTTTAAGTATACTAACAACATTGCTTTGATTGGCAGTTTTTCCTTTTTCATTTCCTTCTAGCTTTTGATAGTGGAAATAGAGGAGCTAGTGTCTCTATCAATATTTTTTGCACAAGCACAACGTACTCCTGTTTGGGATGGCCGTTTTGGGAGCAGTAGGACACATTCCCTGTACACTGCAATGACTAAGCCTTATTCCCTGTGCAGGAAAAGCAAAGATCCTTGGATGCACGAAAGTTTTACTCAGATCAAGAAGAAATTTTAAAGAGGCAGATATTTTGCCAACTTTATGAATATGTTTTTTAAAACTAACCAAATTTGCCCTCACTGTGTCCTTTAATGTTTGAGACACTGCATGGTGGCTTGAAATAACTTTTTAAAAATAATTTTCACATTCTTGTTTGTTTTGACTGATTTCTTAGCAGGATATAAAGTACTTGCCAGAAACAATTCTTCTCTGGCAGACAAAGGCTCTAAAGTAAACACTCTTTGATTTGAGCTTGGCAACAGTTGAAAAAACCCTTGTCATTAGAAAATTTCTTTTAATGTTGAAACAACTGGTTGTGAAATAAACCTTAGGTGATTTTTCAGGAGCATGCAATTCCTCCAGTGTATTTTTCTAGGTTTTTCCATTTAGTTTTTTACCTTCACCATTGCTTTCTTCCTATACCATAAGGAATATGGAATTTTTCAGTAATTCAACCAGAGACAAAATACCTGTGGGAGCACTACGTTGAATATGTATATCCTGAATGCCAGGTTGCACCTAAACCTGGCCAGGATATTATTGTGGAGACCTCTGCTCAATACCCATTTTGATTTCCATTTTGTTAGTCATCGTTTGAAGGTCTAGTGGGTGTTAAATATCCGGTTTTGCTACCTTGCAGCAGTTTCATGCGTTTGTCTTCTTTGTTTATGAGATTTTTGTCATATAAGCTAGTGTCAAAAGTCTTACTAATATCCAGAAGCAGGACATCTACTGTTTGTCCCTAAGCAACAAGGCCCATTACCTTGCTTTGGAAGGAGATTAGACTGCCGGGATTTGTTCTTGATAAAGCTCTTCTGTTTTTTCACTTCTTGCAAACTTTTAGCAAACAAGTGGCTTGATTACAGCAACTCGAGAGAACCAAAAATGCACTGGTTATTCAGTGATTCCTTGCTCTTTCCCACCCGCTCCCTTTAAAAAAATAAGCATCCATTTATATTTTTTTCTTCTTCCTGCTATTTCTCCCCTCCTTCTGGAATTTTTGAAGGTGACCACCGAGAGGTCTAAACCAGTTTCAGCGGTTCCTTAGTCTAGAAAAAACTCATTTGACCTATCCGACTGGAAAACCTCCAAGTTAACCAATGACTGCCTCACCTATCCATAAGTCGCAGTCAACCTTCTCTTAATAAAGGCAGATGTAAAAGGAGTCTTTTTGCTCTCATGTGTTGATAGCATTTCCTCCCCACAGTGGAGGTTATATTAGCCTCCATGTCCCAGTTTACCTTCCCCATGGCACAGCCTTCCCTACTCAGTGCACATTTCTGTCCTAGTCATGCATCCCTGGCTCCTGCTCACCCACTTCCCTTTGCTTCCCTGCAGATGTGGTCCCTACCCTTCCCAATTAGCCAAGCACTGGAGCCACAATACCCCCTTATCCTGTTTGCTCCATCCTGGTTTTTTTCAGTAGAAAGAGAGCAGGTTTGAGATAGTTTACCATGCAGTCTGGTGGTGAAAGCACAAGGAAGAGTGACATTTGTGGTACAGGTTGCTGCGACAGCCAGCTGCAGAAGTGGCACAAGAAGTGGCAGTGGACTCTTCTCACTTCAGGATGTCCAGAAACCTGGGAACTCTGAACGGATCAGAATTGCAGTTATTTTTTCCTCTAGGAATAGATATTCACATTTAAAATTGGTTTACCTCAAACCTACACATGCTTGTTTGTGTCCACCTTCCATGTGTGGGTGAACAGTCAAAGTTTTGTTTACACAAATGTCAAAGCAAATTTACAATCTATGCGCAGATGTTTAGGCATTGCAACTACTTAGGTCACACACTGTTGAGACCTATAAAACAACATCCCAATTTTTTTGTACACAATTGTAATCTGCAACCTTGTTCAAACTGTAAATATCTGTGATCAGTCCATTGAGGAGAACATTCAAAGAAGTATCAAGTTAAAGAAATAAACAAACAATGAACTATTTTAAGGAAACAGTGATCTTCGTGCTGATATTTTGTAAGCAGGAAAAATAAAAGTTTGAACTATCATATAATTCCATCCGAATGATTTGATCAGATCTAATTAAACTATTTAGTCTAGCAATCTGGGGGCTGTACCTTGCGCAGGAAGCAAAAAATTGTGGAGAGAACCAAGTAAGAAGCCAAATGGAAGGAGCAGAGCTCTGAACATCACTGCAACAGTCATTTGTAAGAAAAATAACAGTGAGGTGGGCAAGGACAGCAAAAGGAGACTGGGGAGATGGTGAGCGCTAGGAACTAAGCTACGAGGGAGTTCCTCTGGGGCAGCAGCATGGTAGTTTGCAGGATCCTATCCTGTTTTACCTGCTTCAGTGCTACTTGGCAGCTTGAAATGTACCATCCTTACCATAACTGGTCACATTCCCACAGGCGTTAAGCTCACACAGAGAATGTCCTTTAATAGTACTACAGACAGAAGAAAAAGAGTAAAGCTGAAGCAGGTAATTTGGCCTCTTAAAGATAAAGCTATCATCTGGTCCAGCCTCATTACTGCTGATTACGTTACGCCAGCAGAGCACAGTGCTGCACAGCGAAGAACACTCAATGCTATATGAGCTACTTATATCGGGGTAAATACCTAGTATACTGTGCTGGGAGTTAAATGCTCTGTTCCCATTGCTGTTAATGGGAACATAGAGTTTCTTCCCTCATCATTCTGTAAAAAGCATACTCCATAATATCCACAAGGCTCTTCTACCAAATTCACTCTCTCAAGCTTCGTACCCAGGAGCAGCTGGGAATGTACAGTTTTACTGTATAGAAAGATTTCTCAAATGTGTCTGGCATCAAATGGTTCAGCTCTATCTCCTTTGCCAAGGAAACAGCAATGATTTACGTTTCGGACAAGCATATACAGCTGGCAGGTAACATCTTTCAAGAAGCATTTCTAAACGTCATCCTTAAACAGCACCTGGGAGACATTGTTTTCCCAGGCCTCCCTACCTTGTTGCTATAGCAATACATAAACATGTGAAGCTGAGTTTTATGGGGTTTACGTTTCCCTAGTCATAACAGAGGCTCAGTTCCAAGTCAAAATCCCCATGCCTTTAGTAACACTAATCTCTGAATAATTTGCCTCTAGGTCATTGACAAGAAGAATTAGTTTGCACCTGTGTAACGTATAAGCAACTCCTAATATTTTCTGTATCTGAGGAGGGGGAAGAGTTGCTCTTTAGCTCTGAACATATCAAGAATTCAGGGCTAGGCTTCTTTTATTTTCCTCTTTGGAGGTGCCAAGCACGCTGGCTCAGCATTCTGGGTACTTAACAAAGCTGCCTTTTCTCTCTCAAAGTCATTTATGGTGTTTTTATTAACAGAGTTAAACAAATAAATGAAGAACTTTTGAGCAAAAGAACAAGCTCTCTTGGCTGATACTCAGATACCTCTGCTTATATAATGCATTTGATGTCCTAAACCTATGCATCAAGTGACGTTAGCAAAAATCATGCGAAATATCTGAATTTCTGACGTGGTAAAAATGAAGCTGAAAAGAAACTTCACATTTTAATATCCTGTGGAAAAAAACAATGCCTAAATCTTTTTTTTTTCCCTATAGAAGAATATAGGCAAAGATAGTACACTTACCCCTATTTCTAAGGATAGTTTCTTCTGAACTAAGAGAGGGTTTAACCCGCAACTCAGAGTTCAAATATCTTCAGACTTAGAGACTCCTGAGATCTGGATGGGAATCAGCATAACAGTTCTTGCCCATCTCTCAGTTTAATAACGAAAAAGGAAGAAAAGTAGAGCAGGTGAGGTTTTGCATTTTAAAATAGAGAAGCCACTGTACAAATTTTGTATACAGCTGTCACTATACCAAAGTCTCATTCATTCAAGACGAGAACCACACTAGTTGCCACCACATTCTGGCTAACGTGAATAAATGTTGCTCTTTTACCTGTTATTAAAAGACGGCGTATCATGACTGCGTGAGCAGCGTGGTCAGGTCCTGCCTGAAGAGCGCACAGCGCACCCTCTACTCCTGCCAAGAGAAGGGATAATTTGTGCTGTGGAAGCACAGTTTTGCAAGGCAGCTGGATTTGCTTATGTGCCTGCCCGCGTGTGGGGATCACACCCGCATCGCCAGGCTCCCCCGCTGCCCTCTGCAATAACTGCTAGCTTCCACTTGCAGTTTGCTGCCTTCAGAGGAGGCAAAAACGCAGGTGAGCTCAGCTTCTACCGATGCCTGTACTAAGGCTTTCCAGGCATGAACATGTTTCTTCTGCAAGCCAGGAATGAGTCCTGTGTTTTTAATAACACTTCAGTGGTCAAGTTTAGAAAATATAGGACTCCAATGCAAAATATACACTACCAATTGTCATTTTAAGCATATTACCTTGTGGATGTTACCTGGAATGCCTTCTCATACACGTTGTCATTTTATGTTAAACATATGTGGTTGAGTGATCACCTACAAATTTTTCTGCCTTTTGTTCGGTTTTCTGTAATCTTTCTTTGCAGAAAATACTTTACATTCTCATGTAATAGACACAAGCATTGTGTCCTATGTGGGTAAAATACTGTGAAATGCTAACACATACTCGCTTTTCATCTGATTTTTAAATTGATGTGATGAACAACAGGAAAGAAATCTAAGCCCTCCAATTCCAGGCTTTAATGAACATGCTTATCATGACAAATCATTACTGAAAAATTAATTTTTTATTGAGTGAAACAATTAATTTTACATTAGTACTTCATTACTTCAGATAGCAGTAGTTATACTTCAGCCTTTTTCTACCATGTTATAGTTTCTGTGCCTGAAAGATGTTGTATTTCATTGTTCCACTCCTGAAACAAAAGTTAACAAAAAGAAATCCCCATACTGTGCCTTTTTTTTTTTTTTTTTGGTAAAACTAAAAAACTGTAGAAAGTAAACTCACAGCAATCAATCTCCTGCCATAAAACTCCTGTTATGCACTACATTTGGCAAACCTCAAGCTGATATGGAATTTAACAGTGGATTCTAGGAGTCAAAATATAAATTAAAGCAATATATGTTTAAACCTTTTTCTTTCAGTGTGCTTGTTCGTTCAAGAGTTGCACACTGCAGTACGTCAATATTTCACTGGCACTTCACACACATTTTTCACCTTCTGCCTGGCTTTGCACATTAGTTCTACAACCTCTTGTCTTGCCAAGTAACATCTAGCTGCTTACCTTTTCTATTATGTGACTAAAAGTTTCACTGACTACCTGCATGATTTATACAGCTTCCTTGACCTGTTTTTCTTCAGCTATTGGTGTTTTCTTACTAAAACAAATAAACAAAAAAATCATCAGAAATTTGCTACTCACCCTGCAAACTCCATCAACTTCTTATATTTCGGCCTCAAAAATCTTTGCTCAAAGAAAATTAGCCCCATCCAGTTTTTGTGGAATAATAACGCTTTTTTACAGTCACTCGAATTTTCTAAGCTAAGCCTCTCTTCAGGAGCAACATCAGTGTAAGCAATATCAAGGTAAGGAAATTCTCCAGAGGCAGCAAGGAGCCTGATGAATAGGCCTTCCCCAGGGTCACAGTATCTGAGTTGCTAAGCCCCCTGCTCACGTCCCTGGGAGCTGAAGGCAGAGAAACCTTACATTTCAGACTCCTAACTGGCAACATGGAAGAACAACTGCAAGGAGCGCACGCTCTAAAGAGCGTTTTTCTTCTGCTGGGATGAAGAGGGCGGAACCCCCCGTTCTGCTGGAGGCTGCAGCAGGCGGGGGAGGGGGGCGCCCCCCCAGGGCTGAGCGAGAAGGTGCCCTGCCGCACTGCCTCATTAGCAGCCGCTCAGTCCGGCAACGTCAGGCCACAGGTTTAACAGAGCTAAACTCTGTACAGGCTATGTTAAGATTAAATTAAACGTTCTCCTGGAATCTACCATCTCCTACACCCAGTTAGGCTGGACTATTTAAACAGATAGAGTTAGACTGCATGGGCTAAATACCTACTAGTAAATTTAGCAGGTCGCATGTTTTTGCTGTCCAGATAATGTACCAACAGTGAGGAGTAACATCTCAGGTGCACTGTCAGCAACGATATCACTGACAACGTGGTTTCAGTGGCTGTGGAAGTGCAGACATCTTTCTTGGTCGTGTGACTGACTAACATGTGACATTAATTGCTTTTAGAACCTATTTCTGAGGCCTCCTCCTCACCTCAAAACACAACAAAAAAACCCGTAACAGTAGAAGAGATTCAAAAAAGTGCTGTGCAATTCAAAAAATTGGTGATGTCGAGCACTGAAAGACTCCTGCCTAAAGAGGGTTTAAATTGACTAGAATCTTCCATTTGGAAAAGAGGCGACTGAGAAGTATGAGGGATAAAATCACAACATATATATTTCTAGAGATATATAGAAATGTGAATGGCATGGAGGAGACAAACGATGTGTAATCACACCTTGGAACTGTTTTTCATATTAGAAAAAGTGGGGGATATATAACTAGTATCTTAGGATTTTTTAAGACAAAGTAGACCTTTTCCACAAAGCGTGTAATTAAATTACGGAATGCACTACTGCAGGATTTTGTGAATGCCAATACTACAAATGGGCAAAACCTAAATTTTAGATGTTCATTGGCAAGAAGTAAACCCAAAGACAAAAACATAACCTCCATCTCAAGAGGTCTCTAGACTGTAGATTGCCATAAACGAGGTAGTATACTGGAAGAAGTATCGCTATCTGTGTGGGCTGTTCATATTTCCTTTTGTACGCATCCCCCGCCAAAGATAGTTGAGAGAGGGACAGTTCCTGAATCAGTAAACCTTTCACCTGACCTAGTATCAGTGTTCCTTTATAATATACAGTACAGCTTTTAAAAATAACTATCTTTTGAATACAAAACCATACGAACTACATGTATCCAAGATTTCCTCAGTCACACTGCTCCTTCTTGTCATTTCAGATATGCAGAGGATTATCTAAGATGTAATTAAATTCACAAAGCATTGTTTCTGTTGTCAAGATATGAGTCACCTTTTCATGCATCGATCTGATCCCAGAGACATAGTCACAAAGCCATCTTTTCAAACTTTTCTCCTTAAAACTGAATTCAATTTTTCATCTGGGCTAAACTGTCAGCAAAAACTGCTCTGCAGTGAGTGGCAATCACTCCAGTCTTGTCTCTCAGTAAGGCAAGAGTTTTGACATAGTGTTGTTCTCACATAGAAGTTTCCTTATGGAAAGGACTTTCAAATGCTTTTTAAAAGCATACTTCTACTAAAATCATCCACTTCTAGAAGGAAAAGCTCTATGTGAAAAACTAGGCTGTTTGCCTCCACACCTCTTGAAATTTCAGGAATATTGCCACAAACGCCCTTGGGAGGACATATTTCTTCAGTTTCATTTGACATTTTTCACTCCCTGATGTGGAGAGAAGTGTCAGCTAGGACTTACCAGGAAATATGTCTGCTGATAGACGGCATGCCCTCTCAGTGAAAGATTAGCTGTTCCGCAACTGGTTGCTTCTCTCTTACATTACTTGAACAACACAGATTATGAATTACTCAACCACAGAATGAAAGAGATAAATATGATATATTTCACAGATTTCATACAAGTTAAAACAGTGGGTACAGAAAAAAGGGATTACATGATGCAAAAGAAAAAAATGGGCTCAGTATGAAGAAAACATTTCCTAACAGAAATGTTTACTAAATGGCTGAAAACTTCCTCAAGGGAAGAGGTGGAGGCCTCATCACTTCAGCTACTTAAAATCAGACTAGGCAAAGCATTTATCTCTAAGGGGCAGAGGAAATGAAAAAAAGGATTTATTAGGCTTTTTTCTGCCCTTCTCTGATTTCCATGATTTAATACATTTTTTAAATGTAAACCACATTTGTATAATACAAGAAAGATGCAGAAATACAATAAGAAGATTTTAGTTGTAGTGTTGCCAAACACAATGAAGCTTGATTTAAAACAAAATTTATGCTAGCAGTTCAACTGCAAGATGGCTTCCTTTTGTTTAAGGTCTAGCACTGAAAGCTTTGTTACTGCCATACACCTCTCTAAAGAGATAATGGCTAAGATCGATAAAGGACTGAAACCATTCTTGTACAATTGTTATTGAAGCATAAAATTCAGCCATTGAGAAATATCTAACACTTCAGTCATAAAAATATGCAATATGTTTAAATTACTTTATTTTCAGGTATCAGCCAGTATTTGTACAGTTAAAGACTACAGGGGATTTATTCTCTGTATCAGAACCCTTTAGGCTGTCAAGGTCCAACTTTTGACATGGGAAGCTCATGCAAAAGGCAGAATGGTGCTTTATAGAGAAGCAATGGAATACAGGTTTTGTTCCCAAGGTCTGACAAAACCGTAAACTCCCTGAGTAATCTCCAGCACTAAATATTTACTGATGTTACTCAAAGGATAACACCTAATCTGCTAATATGGAAAGTCAAAGTTGACTCTCAAAATGGAAGAGTCTCCCTCCATCACTTCAAGTCTTAAAATGATTCCACAGTTCCCAGTTCTCCTCCTTCTTCCTTCATTTTTTTCCCTGAAGGCACTACACTATTTAAAATAAACTGCAATGTGGATTCTATCTTGTGTTGTAAAAATAGGAAGAAATACTGTAATAAAATCTGAGAAGCTTTAGAGTAGCTAAAATAAGCCTGTTTAAGAGTGAAACCCCTTTCCCTACACCCATCTATTCAAAAAGGAAGATGGAATCATGACTCACAACTGCAAAAGAAATCAAGAACTGCATTTTGAAGCAAACTATCAGAGACCTTCCAAGGTGATGCAGGGCAGGATGTCAGGTCATGGTGAACTTTGGCCTTGGGACAGCGTCTCACTAGCTTTGAACCAGCCAAGGCAAGAGAGGATGTAGTCGTATGTCATGCTTGCTTTGACACCAAAACTGTTTAAATCCTCTGCACTCTAGTCACTCACACCCTGGCTGCAATTTGCTATCCTTTCAGTTTTAATCTTGTTTTGTTGGTCTGAGCTGTAAACTCAGTGTAGTAGAAAAGGTTGTTTCATTTCAGAATAATGCTCACCTGTAGTTGCATAAAGCCTTGGTCTCAGCACAGCAGAGGGGACAGAAAAATAATGGGAAAAAGTGGCCAGCGGCTGGGATGGGGAGCAAGAGAAATGGTTACTTCTAAGTGAGTTGAATCTAACCCTAGAAAGGTTTAGACATAGGAAAAACAATGGTTCTATATCTTAATAATGAGAAATCCCCTCAAATGTAAAATCAACCAGCTTCCTGTAACCTTCTCAGTTCCCCTTTCACTGGCTAGAGTGACAAGTAGTCACTCAGCTGGAAAGCTTTGTTTTCCTATACCGTACTCGTCTATTTGGCAGGGCACTGTTGGACTCGTTTGCATAAAGTCTATTGGGAAGAAGGTCTATTCTTGGACACATCACAGAAGTTTGGCAATCCTGAAGTTTGCCAATAGCATTATTAGGAAAAGATTTCACCTATTTTAAGTGTTTTATATTAGCACATACAGTTTTGTAGATTTATAATTAATATAGTAGGACAGAGCTCAGAATGCAGCTAAACCAAATACATGAGTCCTTATTGTGGTCAGTCATGTTTACAAAGATCAAGATCTTCAAAACAGTTAACATTGAAGAGGGAATGTGCCTAACTCGAAGGATATCTTTTAATTATAAAGTCAAATACTTTCTTTTTAGAAAGTGAAAATATGTAACTAGCTAGCAGTGTCAAGTAACTTTCACTTAAAAAAAAAAAAAACAGGACAGTCTCTTCCCAAGCAGAGACCTATCTCTGCTTTGCAGCCACACATACTGCCTATGATCCCTCTTTACCTCCACAGATGTCTCTTAACTCGGCAGCTGGCCCCAGAGTCTCCCTGCAAGTCACAGCCCTGAAGCTTCCTGCACAGTCTATTTTCTCCCTCGCCATCTGCTTTCCACATAACTTGCCTTTGGTTACTTGCTCTTCAGGCTCTGGGTTCAGCCACACTTAAAGGAGAGCTTCATCCCCCATGGAGTCCTCGTCAGGTGAAGGTCCAGCTCGGCATGTCCTTCCCATACTGGGCCAACAGCTCCTACTGCATCGTTCAGTCTCAGCCCTCAGGTGACACCACTGTATCGTACTGTAAATTAGCAGTCAGTGACGATACAGTCCATATCCATATGGTAGGCAGGAATTTAAAAAAAAAAAATCTTATTTGGGCTAAAATAATTCTGTTGTAATGAATCAGTAACACTTCACACCTTGCCAAGTCATGTGTCCGGGTGAAACAGGAATAAAATACTATTCAGAGGGGATTTTCTCCGTGTGTGAAAGTAGTATTTTTTACAACTCTGTCAGGCATGACTGTGCAAGGAGAGGAAAAAGTCACAAAGGGAAGGAAACACTGGTAGACAGGTATGTATTATTTGATTCTAGTCCCATTTACACTGACTTCATACCAGTGACACAACAGAGACTTCAGCAGAATTATTCCACTGTAAATGAGACAAGAATCATGGATTTTCAGTTCTAGGCCTTCAGGATGGTGCAGAACTAAAAAAAACAACAAAAAACATTAAGAAGCAATATCTGAAGTTCTTCTAGCCTCAGTCATAGAGCAAATATCTTTTCCTGTCTTCACAAATAATTGAGATTTAGACCTGCTGGCAATTCTCAATGGCATTATCATAAGTCACATGGGAATTTTACAAGATCTCAGCTATAATAATGTGGCTGAGCAGCCGAACAGCTATTCAATCAATATGTTCTTGCATACTCACATTTTTGAATGGATTAGTATTGCTGCACAGTCTAAAATAACAGTGTAAGTTTAACTGGGTGGCAGTCTTAAAAATAGCGAAGTATAATAACCAGTTCAAACTGGTACCACTGCAATTCTGCTGAGATTAGGCTCCATTTTAAAACAGAGTACAAAATATCTGGTGCTGGAGCTGAGAAAATCATAATTAACTTGAAAAAAAAATCAGTAAAAAACATCCAGGAAAAGACAACAGGTAGCACTGCAGACATATTGTGCAGAGGTAATACATATATTTTGCACATTATCAGAACCTACTTCCTCTTTCAGACAGCCCTTTATTAAACATATATTCAGACATATTGAACAAACCCTAAAATATATAAACCCTCTAACACTACAAATACATATTTTCCCAAAGTTATGAAGTACTATAAAACCAGATAGTTTTCTATTTTTCTTTCTTTTTTGATATAATTGTGTTTGGATGTTTAAATTTAAGAGTTCATAGATCAGTCACACCTTGCAGTATACCAGGACTGGAGATGACAACTCTTCTAACTACATGTACTTTACCACAAGCATTAAAAACAATTACTTAGGAAAAGCCATTTCTAGGAATTTTGAAAAAAATTTTAGTTCTAATTATTAGTAAGTGATTACAGAAAAGACTAAAACATTTCCTTTACCCATTCAGTACATTGCTCTGTAACTTCATACACTTGAAAACCATAAACATGCTAGATGTTTTCTTCTTGTATATGTGTCTACACATACATATATGTGTGTGTGTGTGCGTGTGCACACTATTATAAACTCGAACGTCAAGAAAAGCGGGACGTTTAGATTTCTACTTTTTTTCCTATGTTTGTAATAGGAACGAAAACTGTAGATACCACTCGTATCATATACAAAATTGGACCAGCTTGACTTCAAGTCCTCCGGATAGATAAAGCAGCCACTTATTTTTTCCTTTTCCCATTGGCATTTTTCATTTTAACCAAAGTCATTTTGCTCTGACAATATTATTAGGCCATACATTCAGTCTTCATACGACAACACCCTCCTCGGACACTATACTGAGAATACTAAGTCTTGTGCCTGATCCAAAAGCCTTGTTTGCACTGATCGATTGCTCCTTTTCATTTTTTATTCTGCTCTGCATAGGAAAAAGAATTTTTAATTATGGGATCAACTAGAGCTACTTATGTACATAAACCTTATTTTTTTTTAATTTTTGTGTTCTTTCACTAGTTTAAGAAGTAGCCTTACAAACAAACCTTACAGGGCCTGGTTCTACTTGTAGAATGGTAGATCAGTAATTCCTCTGAGCGAAACCAGTCAAGTTACACTAACTGCTGCATCTAGAGTGCCATGACCTCATTCTGGTGACAGAGGGTGTTCCAGGTATTCAACACTTTGAAGCAATATGCATTTAACAGAATCCTTCTCAGAGTCGTGGTACCTCCTAATAGCGCTCATTCTGTGAACTCAGAAAAAAAAAAAAGTTAATGATTTCAGAACTTTTCTGAAATTTGTATTAGTCATCAAAGGTCCATTTACTGGTGATGGGGAATAAAGATCTATTTGGATCACTAAAGTCACTTAAGGGAAATTCTCCACTCTAGCTACCAGAGACTAGGTGTGCATAAAATCAGTCAGGCAATTTGTTAGGAGGACTTACGAGCTGGAAACTTGGCATGGAGGTGGAAGTGCTCAGAGGGAGGGTTAGCATAACGCAAGATGGCTGGGGAAGTCTGCAGAGCCCTGAACCTGTGAGAGGAAGCCCAAGTAGATGTACACTTAAAAGAAGTGCATCTAGAGAGTAAACTGGGTAGTTTAGCTGGCTCCCTGAAAGTACTTAGTAGGAGTAACTCAGAGGGAGCTGCAACTATAGGGGGAAATAATAGGGGCCCCCATTTGGGGAAAGTGTTTTGGGAGGATGTGCCTAGCATGGGGGAAAAAAAATTAGATTCCCCGTGTCCCAGAAAGCAGGAAGTCCAAATCCATTGGTCTCCCACAAATATTTCTGGTGTAACAAGAACTGGGAAAAGCAATAGTAACTTGTCTTATTCTTCTTATATTATTAATTAAGAAAGTGATTTCATTTATTAGCAGAAATAACAGATATATTTCAGAGCATTAGATGCTTTGGATGAAGAGATGCTGTACTTTGACCTGGAGGGTGCCTGTTGTACTAATTTCTTCCAGGACTGATCCTGCAGTCTTGACTCACATGAGCAAGCCAACGGAAGGCAAATGGCTATTTATTTGAATAAGGGCTGCACAGCAGGCACCAAGTTTGGCAATTTTGCTTTATCCCTCTCTAAAATCTGGCCTTTTAAAAATCAGCATGTAGATTTTATTTCCATTGTTTAGCTTAAAAAAAAGGAAAAAGAGAAGACAATAAATATCAAATCAAATAGAAATAAAAGGACCTTAAAACTAGGGCCACTGCTTCAATTTAGTGGGATGGACAACAATAAGAATAAATATGAATACAAAGAAAGGCTAAATCAACTATGCTACATACACGGCAATACATCTTATTTCACTGTATTTGCTATCAAGAAGACATGCAGTCTAGAAACTCGTGACAAACACACTGGCAAAAGCCATAAACCATGAGAATAACAAGGCTCGAAGGAACAAGGCTTACAAAGACAACCCCAAGGGTGACTTTCTTAGATACCAGTAAGTAAATCCCTAAAGGCAAAGAACTAAAGTACAGCAACCCTAGCAACCAAACTAGCACCCGAATTGAAGTCTGGAAGAGCAAAGATGTGCAGTTCCACACTGTCCAGTTGTGGGACACAGTTGCAACAGAGTCAAAACTTGTAGGCCTGTAAAATTCCACCACGGGTGTTGAGTTCAAGGTCTGGGGACTTTCTCTTTGTACTTCCATGATTGTTATAACCAGGCAATTGGAAGAGGTGTGAGAAGGGCTAACCAGGGACGCCAGCCTTTTGGGAGTCAGCAGCAGTTCTGTTGGGTTGTCTGGGAGGCACTTCTTCCCCTTTCCCCCACAAGCTAAATTCAGAAGGATGTTATTGTCATCAGGAAGACTACTAACCTCATCATCCGGCAGGCAGGTTTCAAATCTACAAAATGGGCATACTATGACTCCTTGAGGAGAGTCTCCAAAATCTATGATCTTGCAAAGGCATTTGGCACATACTCTGTGACAGCACTCCAGCACTTTTGGTTTTCTCTGTCTCAGGTTATAGCGGTTGTAACAGATCTTGCACTCAAGCTCATCTGAGCTCTGGGACTCCACAGACTCCTCTGGTAGTTGACTGGTCATTTCTTCTGCTGGTTTTTAGACTTGTGGCAAGAAAAGTCAATGGACAAATACGTCACTTGGGCTTATTTCAGAATTTTTTCCTGATAATCATTTCACTCGTCTCAGTCATGAAAACAGGAGATGAAGTTGTCAAAACGCATCAGTAGGAGTCATCCATTTCAGCTGCTGTAGGGATGCTTTACTGCATGTCCTTTACTCCAAGCCAGGGATCCATGTAAAAAAGACAATCTGTAATTTCTGTGGAGGAAAAAAAAAAAAAGAAAAAGAAAAAAACTATGGCAGAGAAAATGAAGCTTTTTACAAGCTAAGAATACCTCTAAGATGTTTTCCTCTAAGGCTATTCACCTCTAGTTTTTTCTGTTGCATGAGGTACACACAGTAGCCATGCTGATAAAATTTTGCCTCACACTGTACACGTTTGTTTTAGGCTTGTGAGTAGCTTTGAGTCCCTCAGCCCATGATGTTCTCACCAGAAGATGCAACCTAATCACTGATCTGTGACTGCTTTATTTTTGTTTTTTAAAGGAAATGAGAACTAACCAATAGTGCTTTTTGTCTTTCTCAATAACTTTTGAACCAGCTGTCTAATTTCAAGGAAACTGGCAGAGAGGCAGCAGTACTGAGGATAATCAAGGTTCTAAAAAAGTAGTGGAAACTGGCAGTTGGATAGCAGAGAGGAAAGGGTAGTTACAGTTACCACCATTTCTCCTGAAGGGCAATAGCCAGCTGGGCAATCAGCACATGCACAGCCAGGCAGCCAGCGCTCACTCTGAAGCAGCCTTGATGTAGGAGGAAGCTGGTGGTATCCTGGGGGAATATAGTTATGGGTGGATACGGAAGAGGGCTAGAGTTATCGCAGAGCAGGGACATATGTCATAAATTTGGAGAAACATCAAGCTCTATTAATTTTGCTGCTTGTGGCACAACTTATTTTTCCTGTCCCCTCACTTAGCTGCTGAATGCAGAGCTAATCACAGCCAATAAGGAAAATAAGGGTTCTTCAGCATGCAACAAATGCCTCCTTGAATGTGTAGATGCTAGGTGAAGGCTAATGTGTACCCTCCCATGGGTACTTTCCCACCGTACTGGCTTTCAAGTGTTTTATGGCTGTGACAGGTGTTTCACACCTCAGGTAAAGAAAGGCCTGTGGCACACTTACACTGCTGCACTCCTGCCCTGCACAGAGCTTTTGTGTTCGGACCCAGCAGTCTCCCTTAAAAAAATGTGTTGCCATGTTACATAACTGTGCATTTCCATGACTTCAGGAAGCACTATGTATTAAAAACAAAATGTTAACCAGGACTATGTACTCTGGCAAGCAGCAATTACTTCTCCAAACTTCTCCCAAATTCAAGTGCTTGCCTTCTCAAAATGGTGGGTGCGGCATTGCATTTTGCAGGCTTTTAAAATCATTCACTGGCAGAGTACCATCAGGAGCAAGGCACTCGCCAAGGTGAATAATGTGGGCCAGCACATGCGTCCGGCTGCCTCACCCAGCTGTCTCTGCCTGCAATAAGTGCAGGCAGATGGAATATGAAAAAAAGTGACTGTTTCAATAAACTGTTGTCATTTCTTGATTATTAATTTCAGTAAACATTTGATTCCTTTGAGTATAATTTTTTCTTCCTTTGGAAATTTTTATTCACTCCTAGCATTCAGATATTTGTCCCTTTTTTGAGAACAATGAGACAGAAAAGCCTCTCTTCTCATCAACGTGCTGCTTCTGTCAAGCAGCTATCCATCAGGTACCGTAATGTCTCTTTCATGGGCCTCTTGTTCCTCCTATGCTTGACATATTTTCTATCTGTCTTATTTCCTGTACAATATAGGTTCTATTAGTGACTTTATTTTAAAAAGGTTACTTCCAGGACTTTACAACAAAGATATAGCACTTCAAACAATGCAGCAATGAAAAAAAGAGGACAACATGGTAAAGAAAAAACAAACAGGTCCTCATCCCCATTCTACTTTCTTAATTTTTTTCCTACCTTTTCCAAATTATGTCTTTAGTGCTTCAAGCTTCCATCTCTGTCTTATCATTACTTTTGCCTGCATTATTCTGCCTTACCATTATTTTTATTATTTGTATTGTGACTATACTCGTGGTATGTTCCATTATGTCAGGCAACAAAAGCACAAAAAGATTGATCCACAGTCTTCAGAATGTACAAGCTAAACATCTAACACGACACAAAAGTTAGCTCTTTTACAGCTCTTATAATCTATCCTTTATCCTTGGTCACGCTTTGTGCTTCCTTATTCATTTCTGAAACCCTTTTTATTTCATTTCAAATATGCTCTTCTAGATGACTTTTAGGCATTTATAAATGACACAAGATGCTAACTTACCAAAGGATGGGGTAGCCACAAAATGGACTTAGGAAAGTGAAATGCCAACCTACAGGAGGGCAAAGCACCACTAAAAAAACGAGAAGCAAAAGGAAAAGCACCATTGAAAAAGTAAAAGCAAAGTCAACAAACACAGCTGTGGCTTTGAACTTTTAAATCCTGAGTATCATTACTTTTCCATACCTGAGGTGAATCAGGATATCTAACATGCAAATGCTTCACAGTTAAGGCTGGCAAGCCTTGTCCTATGACATAAAACTAGATCACTGCTTAACTGCATCTTCCAGAAAATGTATCTGCTTCTCATGGAAAATTGTGACCTTTCTCTGAAGCCTCCCCAAATGAAAATCTTTTAGTTTTGTCGTTTATCTTTCTAATGAATACTTCAAAGTTTTCACAAAAAGCATACCACTTCTCAGCAGTTCTATTCACACATTTAGCATTTCTGCCTGAAGGCACTTTTGGGGAAAGATAGGAGAAAAACTGAAAGTATTTTACTGATTCTATTCCCTTTAGGTGGCTAAATTTTGCTTTACTAATAGGAAGTCGCAACTCTTGCAGTCTCGAGTAGTAAATTGGGATCATTATACTTTAATTTCCAGAAAGCAATGATCCTTTTGTTCTGATTTCTGTCACGAGTTATTATACAAATTATTTTCAGACTTATTTTACTGCATGTACAAGAAGAGCTACTTTCATCATTTTTCTTTTTCCACATAGTCTCTTCAAAATATATCCGTTAGTATTAAACATCATTGATTGCACGCTTTCTTCTCTGGGTAAGTTAGACGTTGAATTTCTCCTTACGTGTTATAGTGCGATTACTGCCTACTGTTCTGCATTTATACGTCTTTTCCTGTGAAAATTAAAATTTAACCATTAATTCTTATTATTTCTTTACCTTCTCAGCTCGGATGCATTTTTAGATGCTTCAGTCTTTTTGCTTTCCTGAATTCTTAGGGAATTTTCTACTTTTTTTCCTTCTCAATATCCATTTTCTCTCTCAGGCCTGGAACTGAAAACTGACCTTTTTTTAAGCCTTTTTGAGCTTAATTTATCCTGCCCTGCTATACACACCACAAGAAGTTCTCCAGTCACAAGCACACTAAAAATATAGGAAAAACAAGAATTTCTAATGAAATTCAATCTCATATTGACCCTCTCTCTCAAATAAGGCCATCTACTCTATCAGCCAACTTCTATTCTACTGTCTAAGATTTTCTGACTTCTGCGTTTATCTCCCAGGTGGGTATTTACTGGAAGCAGGCAGAATAGGGCATTAGAATAGAGAATAGATTAACTGTTGCCCCTCGGAATCCTGGTCCCTCAGCTAAAATGTGGCAATATGCATACTTCTGCCTGCTGCACATTTAAAGCTAGAGAAGCTACAACACCACTCAGGAAGAGGGAGCGTGCTGGTGCGTTCACGCTTTGTCTTCCTCTTCTCTTCCGGTCACTTTGTTACATGATGTCATGTGAAGGTGTTTCCCTATGACGTGTTCAAACACTCCATTAATGTCGGGCTTTTGTTAATACTGTGCTGCAGTTTTCGTTGATTCTTTCTGGCCTTGACATCCAGAGGACAGTCAAGTATAAACTCCTGAGCACAGATCAGACTACTGGTCTAGCCTCTTCGAATTCATCTACAAAATTCCTATTGACTTGAGATTAAATCAAGGTCCCATGATCTATTTTTAAAGCACTGGGTTTAATTTCGTTAAGGTTCTGATATTTGTCAGGACTACGAACTATATTCCTTATGACCAGTTTTCCACTTGAGCTAATTTTTTTTTCAGATGGAGGTGTATCCCCTGTGGCTTTGATACCAGCAGACACAAGTTGCAACAAGGGAGATTCTAATTTGATATTAGGAAAAAAAAATTCACAAGATGATCAAATACTGGAAAACAGGTGCCCAGGGAGGTCATGAAATCCCCACCCTTGGTGCTATTGAAAACTTGACTGGATATAACCCTGGGCAAATTGCTGTAAGCTGGAATTCGGCCTTGCTTTGAGCAAGCGGATAGAACCTCCAGAGATCCCTTCCAACCCAAATTATTCTACGATTCTGTGTTTCTGTATTCTTAGCCCACTTTATGTGATGTATCTGAGAAGCTTTGTCTCTTACTGAATGAGGAATCAGGCTGACTGTTACTTATGTAGCGCAGCATCTTTCCAGGATAATTATTCTTTCATTTAATATACAAACACATTTTAGAAGAAAGCCTAGCTACTTTCTGCTATTGTCTTCCACAGAACATATTTGGCATGATCAGCACAATCTTGACTGCAGAACTTTTCATTCCTGGGGCTATTACGTAGCGCACAGTGGTTTTGAGAACAAAATATAAACAAACTAGACATGTTCAATGCTAACAGCATCTACTGCAGTTTATCCAGGAACAAGCACATCTGCTGTCGCCTGACAACCATTTGTATTTTTTTTAAATAAGAGTTCTGTTGAAGCAAGGACTGCAGAAGTGAATCTACCGTTCCTTTTCACTTAGTATTCCAGATGCTGCTTGAGTCTGGACTTCCTCTCTTCCCCTTCCCCGCACCTTACTGTCTCCTCTGTCTGACTTGGACCCTTTTACTAGAAAGGGGTTAAAGCTGACGACGGAGAAGTAACTTGACTGGATGACAGAAAAAGGCAACAGCCTCCAGCTGACTGCTGGAGGGCAGTCCCAGAAGTGGGACTTAACGCAGACTTAACAGCATAGGGAGTATCCTTGCTTGATGAGCAGGAAGGGGCCACTCACAAAACTGGACTGAAAAAAGAGCAAGCTTGCACGGATGGCCAGACAAAGCACAAGCCTGAACAGGCTGCTGTCCCCCGATCATTTTGCTACTAATCACTGCTGGGTCGCAGACCACAGACTGCAATCTTTCATCTCAGTCACAGAATGAAAGGTGAACGGCTTGTGGCATGTCATGGCCACTCTTCACACTCATCTATCAACTACTGTGTACACAAATTGTGCATATGAGAAGATAGAAACTGTTAGTTGCAGATGAAACTCTCTCGATACCAGACCTCAGTTAGGCTGAGGGGGTAAAGCAAATGAGAAATCTGTGCTTCTGCTCACTAAGAGAAGATCATCCTTGCCAGGATTATCAAGCCACCCTTTTGCCACTCATCTAACACATTTTTTGTGTGAATTGAATTTTAGGTTATATGTGAAATATCCACAAATAAATACATGAGGTCAGTAATTAACCTGCATAAAATATCATCCACGGAGCTACACAATACGTGATATTTTCAAAGGTTTTCAAAGAGTTTCCTCTAAATGCAAGCCAAGTGTGTTTAGATAATAGGAGGAAGAGAAAATAAACAGAGATAAATAAATACAGGTAAACTTACTTTCCAAGAGAAAGAACCTCTTGCAAAGGCTCACTCACAGGGAAGACAAGAAATGTCTATTCTCCACACAAGCAAAAACTGGTGGAAGGGAGGAAAAAAAATTAGTAGAGCAAATATACCAGCTGGGAGACCTTTCAGTGTGTTTTCTCAGAAAGAGAGGAAGTTGTCCAATTTCTCGGGTTTGGATGGAAATACCCATATGTTATAATTTCTGTTTAGAGAAATATATTGGGGAAATCCCGTTTACTAAAATTATTTCTGTAAAATAATCCAGAGTTATCTTTACAAATCTGTTGTTAATTTTAAAGCTCTTTCAATATTATCTGCTAAATACACCCAAGCATTCTGAGGTGCTATGTCTTCTAGCAATCACGTATTTGCAAGTGCTAGAAATTCACTCCAAAAAACTACAGCAAAGCAGTTAAGGAGATAAACCATGCTTCGAAAGAAGGGCTTTAAAAACATATCAAAATACTTCCCTTCAGAAATCTCATAGAAGCTCTTTAATCACTTCTAGCTCTCCCAACAAACTGCAGTCTCTTCTCCAGCATAGACCAGAAAACACAGCAGTCTGCTGTGGACCACTGCATTCAAACAGCTTTGCTGCATTCTGACTCAGCAGGAAATGACCATCGCACTAGATTTTTCCAGCTTGTGCTAAGCACAATGCAAGAAAAAAACCCAAGAACAACAACAACAAAAAACTCTACAGCTTTACTAATCTGACTTTTGTATAGACTACATTCAAAGTGCCGGCAGCTATCATATGTTCAACCTGTTTCATGCCACATTTCTGCTACTATTGGATGGCTTTTAACAATGGGCATTTCCCTGTCAACTCTAATCAACGTGTGACTTTGCACAAGAGTTACAGAATGTGACATACTGATCCATGTTTGGTTTACGGTCAGCTGTATAAGCTGCTTTGAAAAACGCCACAATGCATTCTTTTCGTACAAACACAGTGTTAATTAGGATATGCAGTGAGGTTATTTCTCAAAGAAATCCCAGGAAACGTTATACACAAGACAGAAAATCCGCAGCATATGCAACAAATATTTATGTATTGCAGACTGTTTCACAAGTAACTAATATCAAGTACAATGATTTTTATCAGAAGTAATTATTATAAAATTTAGCACAGAGTCCTTGACTGATCTCTCTCTCAATCCTCTACAATAGTATAAAAACACAAAAATAAAAAAAGGCAGAAAACTGTATTTTTTTCATATTCAAAGCAGAATTCATGGGTCTGATCATTTAGTATGAAAAATCATAGAATAATATTACACAGTTTTAAATAATAAAAAAATGGAATCAATAATTGATGCTTTTTAACTGGTAAATAAGCAGGGAAGATATATTGTTGTCTAACATGGTTGACTTTATTCAATCCTGTCACAGTGTCTATTATGGTACGTTCTACATCTTTTGCATGTGTGTATTCAATATCACCAGACTCCATTTCCTCTTAAAAACACAATTTACAATACTTTGTTATCCGAATAACCCACATTATATGCCAGCTAGTAGTGGAAAATGGTATGAATATTAGCGAATGCCTTATTGAAGCCACACTATCCTGAATGACTCTCATTCTAGCTAGAGGCTACTACAGTACTGATACGAATCTTAAAATTGACTATGATGTAGAAAAAATGCTTCATCAGTTAGGCTGGTAGACACAAGCAAAACCTCTTTTCAGTACTTCCTGAGAAGGATTTTTTTCTCATATATAATTCATGAACAATTGATATAGCAATACACTGAATGACTACTTAATGTGACATACAGTTGCGGGTAGTTTTGTGGTTGTATTAAGAATAAAACTAATAAGAGATCAGATCCTTTGTCCTTTAATAGCTGTCTTGATTTAAACAGACTATTAATTACACTAAATCACTAAGTAAAAAGAGATGGCTTGAAATTTGTATTTAAACGGTAACAAATTTAGTTTGGGAAATACATGATTTCAACATAATTAGTTCCTTTTAAAATAATTTCTATTAGATTCACAACCTAATTGCTAGGGCTTTTTTAGTATTTTCTCCTATGCTGTTTCCTCACAGCCAATGGCTTTTCCTTTATGACTCTGAAACCAAGAGGAACGCTCCACTCCAGTATAAATATATTTCACAATAGAAATCATGATCTTAATGTCATTATTTTAGAGAAAGGATAAACATTCTCCTCTTTGGTGAATTCCCTCTTTAAGGGATTTTTTTTAGTGGCTTCCTTAGATAAGATGGAGTTCTGTTTCTCTGCAGTAGATTTTGTGTCCTTTAGAAGCTCTTCTGAGAGTAATTGAACATAGTGTGGGACATTGATTCTAGACTACGACTTGAAAGGATACATAATGATAAATAAATAAAAAGCTTCCCAGTATTTCTTATTATGAACATAAATGTTTAATTATATGACCTACAGATATGCCTACCGTTTATCTTTAAACGTGGCATTATTAACAGCCAGTAAGATTTTGTATGAGGTTTCAGAATGCCTGAAGATAACACAGTGGAAGTCTGCCTCCTTGCTTTGCTTGCTATTGTATGTTTGAATGTAAGAAATTAAAACGAATCCAAAAAATGCAAGCACATAATTTAGAAAAAATATATACTGTTGTACTGAGAGTGACATATACAAAATGACAGACCCCCCAAATATGGCTGAATATTTTTCTTAGGACGCATTTTCTATTTTATATAATTTGGGAGGGGCCAGGTAAGACAAAAATACAGAAAAGTAACCTTGATTACATCATTCAGTGAGAAATGAAGATAGCTCCCCCTCTTCACATAGGGGGAACTATCTTATGCATTACAATAAGTCCCAATTAACCTTCAAGGTATGATCTAAATAGGGAGCAAGCGTGGCATTAGCTTTGTCCTAATGGAGCTGAAAATAATCCCAGAACGGAATAGAAAGCAAGCTGTACTTCTTTCTTTTTCTGCTGCTGCTAAGAGTGACCTATCTAACACTTAAGTGTTTCACTTGGTTCATTCTGTTTCAGAGTTTTCTGAGGATATGACTATATACAAATACTTTCCTGTATTGTCTATTTTACCTGAATAGGTTAGCACAAACACAAAATAAAAAGGGTGAGGGATTACACAGGGCAGTACTGATACTGAAGTTTACATATAGTTTGCATATAGTTGGTAGTAGGGTTTTCTCTTTAACTGCTGCTCAGAATTTGTGGGGTTATCCTGTGCTGGGATAGGAAAATACTAAGAAACAGCTGTAGCTACTTCAGTCACAGAACGTTTGCAAACCACATGTGACAAAATAATCCAGCACCAGTACAGACTTCCATTTATAAAACAGCTTTTCCAGGCCTGGTCTTCCACTAGCACACCCCGTTTGAAAAGTTGCCAGCCAAAAGCTAATCTAGCCGATGTTACAGATAGTCCCAAATAGTTTCAGAGGAGAAGGGAGGGGTCTCAGGAAACAATATAGTGATCTGGATTTACTGAAATATGAGGAGAACATTTTTATTCACTAAAAAAGCATATTGAAAAATATTTGTTGCTGGCATAAAAACTAATTTTATTTTTGCAATATAGCAATATTTGGTACATGAAATGATAGCCTATATTCACTTCTCCCTTGACCTTATTATATATAACTAGAATCACAACAATGTAGCAAAGAAAAATGTCATCATCAATATATTTAAAAGAGAGTGAATACATTAAAAATGATGCTTTCAAAATCTAATATTAGTAGGTCTTGTTGACGTGTGGTGAAGCTAAGCTGTATGCCTTCAGCTGCATCTGTGGGAACTGAATGATCCCAACAGACTAGTGTCAGTTAGGAGACATTAGCTCTGACCATAACTTGTGTAGCACTTTGATACAATTTTTGCATTTAACAGGAAAAGGTCCATTTGCCCTGATTTATACACAGGGAAACTAATACTAGAAGTGTAGAAAATTTGTTTTTAAGTGCATATTTTTTCAAGCTCCTGCTGGTACCCTGCACCAAACAGCCATACTATCAATTGATTTTCGAAAGTATTTTAGTTTAGTAATGAAAGTTCCCTCAAGTAATGAAGAGGAAAAAATCTTGTTATGTTTTTATACAAATTCTAAGCTCGTTATAAACCATGACCTCTATAGTTTTAAGTGAATATAGAAGAAAATATCCGTTAATAATTACTTACATTTTTTTATCTGAGTGTTTCTGCTGAAAATGGGATTATAAGAAGCATCACAGCAACTCCACTTCTGTCTAGCAGGGCTTCACAGTTGCATGGTAACTGCTTGCAAACAAGCTACAAACTACAAAGTTAATGCAGGCACACAAATAATTCTAGACAAAGGTGAATGAGATAAAACTGCAGATATTTAAATAAAGGATGAAATGAATTGAATTAATTTGTGTCAAGCAATAGGCACAGCTGTACTCTACCAAAAACGTAAGAAATTTTATTGCTGTTATTTTATGCCACTACGGAATAAGGAATCCTCTTAAACAACAGCAGCTTAAAGTATTAGTCTGGAGATAGCTCCCTAACTGCTGTAAACGACTCCAGGACTGTTAGAAATCCATGAAGGGCTACACCACTTGTCTCAGAATTGCTGGAGTACTCTGCTGCTGAGATTTGCATAACTCAGACGAATGCTTATAAAGGACTTAAACTTCAAGGAGATTATTATGAATTGCCCTAGTTTTAATCTGTTGTTTAGCAGTGAAATGTGGTATTTTTTTACCCATTGTGAACTCTCACTGAAAGAGGTAAAGCACTACTTGATAGAAGACTTCCAGTAAGGGACAGAATCTTCATGATTTGAAACTGTATATACAGTAATAATACAGAGACTACAGTCTGTAAAGAACCACCATTTCCCAAAGGAAATCCTCTCCATTAGTAGACCCAGTATCTCCTTGAGAATTAGCTCTGAAGAGCTAAGCTCTCACCAGACCTCAGGCTTTGGGTCAAATTATCAATCCATTTCCTCAATGGGCAAAAGAAAAATTGGCTCTACCGTACGTAAGTCTTCCCATCCTAGATCTTACAGTATAAAGGAATCTACCGAGAATAAGATGAAGCATGATATACTCTGGGTATTTCTGAAGGCATCATGGTCACCAGTGGTTGCTCTGAGACTAATGCTACTACTTCTGGGAGCATATTCAGGCCTAGAATGCCCTGCAGATTGCATAAGAGCAGCAGAAATAAGCAGATAATTCAGAGCACGTGAGGACATCCATGGCACATGCACCTTATTTTTAGCTGAGTTTTGATATGTTACATCTCCCTCACATATATTTCTGATAGGAACATACTGGAAAATATGTTTCATCAAAAGCTGCCTGCTTCTGCTTTGGGGTAAGAGGACAACCCTGACTCTCCAAATTTTTCATCAACTGACACAGTTAACACCAATAAAGTCTCTCAGACTCAGAGGGCATGAAATTGTCTTTGCTTTGAGCAGAGCTACAGTATTTTGACATCATTTGTAACTATAACAGTTGAAATGTTAAGCTAATTCAAAATGTTTGAAGTGTATATGTTTGAGCATGTTTAAAATATAACATCCAGTAAGGGAAAGAATTGCTTCAGAAATTTCAAAAATATTCTGACATACTCACAAACACAGCACACCTATTAAATTAACCAGAAAGAAAACAGATACAGAGAATATAAAAGGGAATTCTAAAGGTTTAAAAAGCAACACAGTCCTTAGAGGGTCCTTACACTTTCTATTTTCCTGGGTAAATAGAAATTAATAAGTGAGACCAGATATTTTCTTAATTGGTTATAATGAACTGGGATTTTAGTTCAAGTGCTTTGTTACATATTGTAAAGGCTAGAAAAACTAGAAATTAGAACCCTATCAAATTCTGGACTTCACTTAAAGTAATATAAATCCCAAGAGCAACACAGCAGCTTTCACTGAGTGTTTCAAAGGATATTGGTTTTTCTGGTACAGTACAAATGAGAAGCTCGTGTGAGCCTTATGAAAAAAGGCAGGAAATGAAAAACATTTCTTGCTTTCTCCTAATTAAGGAAAGAAACTTTGATAGAACTGAAACAAAACCAAGAGCATCTTAAAATAGCTGATATTTCAAATCACAAATTTTCTTTAAAATAATTTTCATAATGAATTGCTTCTGCTCTCATTTTACTTAAGCAGGTGAATGAGAAGCTTCTGAATGCTCCACATGCCTCTTTTTCCAAAAAGATGAGTTAATAAGTGACCTTATTTAAAAGACATTAGAGGATGATGTATTTCACAATGGCCTCATTGTCAGTGTGCTGAATGCATGCAACTTGCAAAGAAGGGAAGATTTAGAAGAAAGAATAGAGGAATGTAAGATCTGTTTGGAAGCTGAGAGGCATTTTTTTTTAATTTCTGAGAGGCATTTTTTTTTAATTTATACTATTACTTTTCCATGGAAAGCTCCAGATTTGAGGCACCAATATGGCATACAGCTGTTTGTCAGACTACTAGATCATGGTTTATAAGGTTACAAACATTGCACTAGTAATCAGTGCAAAAGACACTGTAGCATCCACTGTGAATCTATGACTTCCTCAAATCTCTGCAAACACAGGACAGGTTTGCAGCAAGTTAAAATATACCCTCTTCCTTGGGCTTGGCGTCTTGAGAGAAGGCGCTCTCAGTGAAATTGCATAAAATTAGTTCTAGCATCTTCTGCAGACTCAAATGATTATAGTATTCCCTGAGGACTTCTGAGCTCACATTTCTGCTTCTCTCTTTCTGGAAGGCACTTTCAGACACGCACCCTCACGAGGTGCACCCTGAGGACACTTCCTATTAGTTGTGGTGGATGTACTTTGCAAGAGAAGGTACAACTACACTTTAAACTGCACTGCAGTTTAGAGATAACCGAGCCAGGTCAGGTAGTGGAAGCAATCTATCTGTAATAACACACAGTTCTGCATGAGCTAATTTAACGTGGTTCTCAGGAGATTCAGCCAGACTTACCTACCGTTTCCCACTACATCATCCTTTGCTTATATCCTTAAGTTCTACAACCTGTGCCAATATATCCTGCCTATCTGTAACCAGTCACTGTACGGTATTAAGCTACAGACCACTGCTTTTTGAAATGGGATAGGAGATATCCTAGAAGGCAGCAAAAGTATTACCTTTCATTCTCCATGTTTCCAAACTCAGATACGTCTCAGTTTGAACTACGTAACTCGGAGGATCAGTAACCACAGAACACGTAGACTTTCATCTCCGCTTACTCAAAACGTTATGCAAATGTTGCTATTGACATCATGTCTGGCTGTATTCCTCCATATGGACGCCTTTTAAAGTTTTGTCAGGCCCATTAACATGTTGGGTATCTGAAGTTAACATGGCTTGTAATGAAACTACAGCTTTGAGAAGCTTTAACTTTCATGATTTTACTCCTGATAGATTCCTATTTCTGAAGGGCCTTTACAGACTACTGCTGTGTGCATTGATCATAAGACAAAGGTGAATTGAGGGAGAGGCAAGTGTACAGCTAGTGAACTCTATGCTGTGTGGATTCACCAGAGCAAGCGACCACTGCAAAAAGGCACAGCAATAATCACAGCTTTGTTTACCGGGTCAAGACACACACCACCAAACACAGACACTTTCATAGGAATGCCTTTACAGGAACAATTATTTTCTTTGACAAGGTTATCTTTTAAAGAATTATCTACTGTAAGGGTGGAACTCAGATGGAAGTTTCCAGATCATAGATTAGTTGAAAATGCTAAGTTATGTCTTCAAACCAACAAAAATCTTCTAGACAGACACCTAAGACTGATCTCTGAGGACAAAGCTGCTTTCTTGGATCACATACAGTGCACATATTCAGATATATGAGAACTATTTGCACTTGATCAAGGACTGGGAAAGAACTGTCAGAATATGCCTATCCCTAAGTGAAATTCTTTTGGTAAATTTTCTGATTTATTTCAGCCAGTACAAGTGGAATTTTGTCCTTGTTAATTAAGCCTTCCTTCTCTACAGCAAGAAGCAAGAGACTACCATGCTTTCTATGCCCAAATCTCTAGCTTTCGGTGATCCCACTCAACTGCATATACAGCTCTGTATAGAATTTTAAATGATATAATTTATGGCATAGTACAGGAAAAAAAAGTATTCTCATGACTTTATGTAAAAGGCCAGAGCGGTTAAAAGCCTTTTGATTAGCAAAATGGCAATAGGGCATTTTGCTATTTCATTAGAAACAAAGATACTGTAAACTAGATACTCTTGTGTAAATTAGGAGTGATTCAACTGAAAGAGGTGCACAGCTAGCACATATAATGTGATCAAATCACATCTTGGTTTTTGTTTAATAGGATAAAAATCTTCTTGGTGTTTCTAAAACTTGTTACTGCCTCATGTATTCAATTCCTAAATATGTAATCCCTGCTCAGATAAAAACAAGATTGGATTGACTGGGAAACTGTGACACAACCATTAATTTCTGCTTGGCTTTCATCTGTAGTATGTACCGATGCTGTCATTGAAAAAAAATCTTAACTGTCAAGTTATTAAATCTTGTAAAGAACTATGCTTTGTAATATCTAAATCCAACTGAGGAACAACATCAGTGAAGTACTGTGATGGCACCTAGTAATTCATGAAGACTGTGGGATACTGTTCCCACCCAAAAAGATAAACTTGTTTTAATACACTGGGATGTGCAGAAAGGGGCAGACAAAATCTGTGACAACGTTTATGAATGCACAAATTGTGGCAGCCTCACTGGCAGGCTACCAAGTCTGAAGGACTTACTGATCCAATATCACGTGAATGAAGTATTTGATACACTCACACTGACTTGCTATCATGTCCAGATGAGACATTACAATCTCAGATGTGTCTCATATTCTGCGAAAATAGCAGGTGGAACCGTTGGTTTATTACACCATTGGTTTTGAAAAAGCTTCAGATGACATTCACAGTCAAAAGCAAACAGTAACCATTTAAGTTGGTAAGGTTTAACTCAGCTATTCAGAGAAGGAAACTGAGTACCACACATTAGAATTGTCTGTAAAGATTATAAGACATCTTGCAATGACATCTTAATAACAACATCATTAAGCACTAGATCTAAATGGAACAAAGAAGGACCTTCAAGCTGAACGCTCTTTGTCTCTTCTAAGCACTCTGCAATAAATTGTACTCTTGCTTGCACTCGTGCAAAGCCACTGAACTCAATCCCTTTGAGTTACTGATGATGCATGAGTGTAACTAAACACAGATTACAACTTAACAAGACTTCTATTTCCAATTCTTGAGATCCTTACAAAAGAGTTTTGAATAAGAGAGAAAAGAGGGCAGGAGTATGATGGATCTCAATATGCATAGAATGGACAACAGGGAAGAAAATAGAGATAAATGCAAATGAAGAAAATTTATGAAGAAATGGTTTCTAGACTGGCATAATTACAGAGAGTGGAGAAGGAACACAGCAGAAAGCACAGGCAGTGAAAGAGGGCCTTACATGTGATGAAAACAAGTTTGAGTTGATACAGAAGATGAATTCATGGGGCGTTTCAAAGATGCAGAATTATATAGTTTAGGAAGACGGCCAAAGAAGATGAGAGAGGTCTGGATACACCTTCTAAAGGAAAGCAATGCAAGTGCCAAGTCAGCAAGTGAGGAATAGGCTACAGGCTATATGTTACAAGTTACAGGAACCAAAATATGAAAATATTAAGACATAGCCAGAGATGGATGTTTGAGAAAAATTGTGTGTGTTCCATAAGAAGAGACGACAGGAAAACATGGGACTAATCTGAGCATAAGCAGAAATGGAGAAATGAGATATGGTCTGTTGCCCACCATGCTAATGAGAACGAATGTGATAAATAGTAACAGAGAAATGGATGGTAAAGCAGGGGAGGACCTATGAACAAAACTTAGAATTAATTTTTAATACTGGAGATCCTAGTAAACCAGTCAGAGTGAAATGTCAGAGAAAAGCAGATAAACCAAAAATTCAGGAGAAAGCTGTTTGTATTTTGTTGTATAACCAAACTCTCTCACTGTTAAGTTCAATCACACATGATTGGTAGCTATAAAAATCCAGGAAAGTTTGGGGCTATGATGCAAGGAAGTGAAGCATTCACAACATTTACTCCCTTAGTTGTCAGACCACCAAGATGACAAAAGGCTTGGTTCCTTTAACAGAAAATTCTCTCAAGGATAAGGGCTGGACAAGGTGTGGATGACAGCACTCAAGCATATCAGCACACCTAGCATATCAAGCAAGACAAAGCAAACAAGTAAATCAACGAGAACAACTCCTCAACAGCAACAGAACTGATGCTTTTGAGTAACATCCCTTGATTCTACATAAGACATTACAGTAGAGAAGAAAGAGAAAGATCTAGCCTCATACAGTCAGTTCAGTACAGTGAAGAAAGTGACAAGATACAATCTGTGAATTGGGAAATTCATTCCTAGCACTGTATTTTTTTAAAGTAGATACATAATCCTAATTGTTTATGATACAACTGTGGCATTACTTTAACAACGAATGAGGACATGTTTCAATCCCAGCTCCCTGGAGTTGAATTTACAGCCTTCTGATCAGAAAGACCTACTAAATAGATTTTTTCCCTACATTTTCAAGGGTAGGATTATTTAGCAGAAGATTAAAACAATCCCTTTGGGGAGTATTAAACTACAACTTTTATGATCTGAAAATATCGCATTTTTTTCCTTATAGCTGGCTGACTCAAATCCATCTTAAAAAGAGAAAACCAAAATCTTTTAAGTCTTACCAGTAAGGACATGAGTGGTCAGAACAGATGAAGATTTAAGGCCCACCAAAGGCTGTAAAGGACCCTCAAAATATATTAATCTTACTTACTGTGCAAGAGAGACCACAGAATATACTCCTCTAATTCCTAAGTTAAGCCATAGAATCACTGAGTAATTGAGATTGGAAGGAACCTCTAGAGGTGATCTGGTCCAAATCCCACTTCCTGCAAAGCCTAGAAAACAGTATTGCAACACTTTCAACAGTACAGCTACATTCAGTGGGAACCTTTACAGAAGGGGAGGGTGCCAGTCTCACTCGCTCCAACCCATATACTCACAAGCACTGAGGCGCTGGTATCCCAGTAGTCTGGTCAGTACTCAGACATGGAGACACATTCCTTTAAGTGACACGGAGCACAAGGGATGCCAGCTATCCAGTCCTCATCCTGGCTCCTGGCTTCCCTTTTTGGTTGGCAACCATGTGCTGCTGCTGGATGTCCTTTTTGCTGTCTTTAGGAGCCAACAGTGAACACACTGTTCACCTGGTCCCACCTCTGTGAGTCACCAGGATTTACCCACTGTCCTTTGTCTCCTGATGTGTGTGCCCTGAGAAGCTGCATGTAGTAGATATGTGCTGTGATCTTGATGACCTGCTAATCTGGGTGCCATCAACAGCCATTCTTACAGCCTTTTGCCTGATCTTCCTTCTTTGGCTTCCACACCCAAACAATCCCATTCTTCCTACTAAACAAGATTCTATTGCAAGCCTCTACAAAAGCAGAGACATCTCTGAAGTCCCATTGTGGTAGCTCAGAGCCTTGAATACCTCCAAGGATGGAGGGTCCACAACCCCTTGGGCATCTGTTTAACCCCTGATTCACAGTGAAAAATTGACTGAAATACACGTCATGCCTCTCTCACTGATTTACGGGGTGGATATAAGGCAGCCTTTCACATTACTGAGAGTGCTGCCCCCACACAAAGCAAGTACAGGATGATGCAGCAGGCCTTAACAGTAGCAAAATGGGACAGTAAATTGAGTAAAGTGTATGAGAAGCTTAACAGGCATTTAAGGCAACCTCCTGTTGCCAGTATGGATCACTTTGTACTGCTCTGGTGAAACAAAACTATCTTAATAAACCCTCAGCCTTCCCATCTCCTAAGGGTATACGCTCTTGGAAGTGTTCGCTACTGCTGTAAGATTTGTTAAATCCTTGGGTTCCAGTTTTACCTTCTACATACATGGAGATCCAGCTGGATCACATCCTGGGGTCTAGTCATCTCAAAGGATGGCAAATCTCCTTCTACCAGGAGGCCGGCCGTGAAGTTTTAGCAAGGCACTTAATAGAAATTTTGCAGGTGGTTTGCATCCATGGTCTTTTATTTCATTATACGTTCTTGGTTTGGGGCAAGAACACTAAAAGAAACATACAAACAAGACTGACCTTTGATTACATTTATTTGAATCATGCACAAACTGCATCATCAAATAAAGATAAATTTAAAATTTTATCTTTTCTACAGAAATAGTCACATTTTCAGATAATTTTCTTTGTAATATATTACTTCTCTGACTGATGATTCTGACCTTGAAAAGCAGGTCTAACATACAGTGCGTTTTCCAGGCAGGTTTACTGAGGAGGAAAGTTGTTGCCTCAGACACCACACTTCCATGTTTCAGAATACATTACTGTATATTGGAAAAAATATAGGGATATACGATACTTCAAGATAAAGGCTGAAATTGTGATTTTTCACATTGAAAGTGAGCACTACTATATCCTCATAAAGGAAATCACTTCAGGTAAAATAATGTTGCTAGTGACAGTTGTTCGACCAAAATAAAATGCTTCATACATTTCTGAAAGTGGAAAAGAAAAGCAGCATGAAATATTTCTTCAAATATTACAAAGATAAATTAACATTTTGGTCTACAAGTAGCATATGCATACAATAATGTTGGGTAGAGAATTTTATCTGAGATTTCAAGAAAAACATTAAGACAGTTGTCCTCAAGAAAAACATTAAGACAGTTGTCCTCTACAATCAATACCCTAAAGGGATATTGACAGAGAGACAAAGAGGAACACAGATGCAAATACAGACACCCTCCTTCTAAACCCACTTCACTCAGAGGACACAACATGTCTCTCTTTAAATGCTGATTCAAGAGGGCAGAAAAGAAAGGATCAACAGAATTGTCTGGGAGTTGCTTAAATAAAAGAGCAGCTCAGGATAAACAACTTAAAGCTTGAACACAATACCATTACCACAATGCCTCATATTAATTATTATGTTTACTCAATCCCACCTGTCACAATGATGAACAATAATGATCACATGAGGCGAGACATTCACAAGTTAGCTAATCCACTCAGTTTAGGCAGGGGATCAAAGATACCTCTATACCCCTCTGTTCCTTAACAATGGCCCTTTTAGGTTCAAAAAGTAAATAAGAGAAACTCTAAGACTGGTGTGAAGTATGCATATTTGT